TTAGACATTCATTCGTGAGAAAACTGATTAAGGATGGAATCATTTCACTTACGTATATACGAACAAGCTATAATTTGGCTGATCCATTTACTAAGCCACTGGCCAGAGACTTAGTAAGAACAACCTCGAGAGGTATGGGGTTGAAACTCCTTGAGTAAGAGTTCCGACAACGGCGTCAACCCAATCTTAAGTTAACAGAACATTAACTTTAAGATTTTCAATGGGTAATAACAAGTCGTTGATTTGGATAATTGTCTAACATTTCATAATTATGTTGACATTAGAAATGAGGGTTGAGTTTTATTTTAAACTCTTAATGAAGTTCAATACCGAGGGTACGTATCTATTGGAAACAGATACTATATGAACTTCACCTATGTGAATTTTGAGATGGTGCCGTCTCAAAGTGAGAGTTGGAGTTTCTCTCATGAAAAATTCATGAAACAGGATAGCACATGGCCATAAATAAGCGAGTTATGCAGAGGAAGAATCTTTAAGGGGTGTGTGTAAGGTAACACCGGTCTATTCATATGGATTCATGGTTTAAAAGCATTGCTACCTAATGTTCCGATTAAACCTTGTGTTATCCTTACTAAGGTTAAGTTTAAAATCGAAAGATACTTAACTGTATTAATACTTCTTATGTCCCATTTCTGGAATTATTATTTTGTCATTATTAGAACAAGTGGGGGATTGTTGGAAATAATAATTTATTTCCATTAAAGTTGTTCCAAAATGACAAAGTGGGTGATATAGTTAATTGACAATAAATGCTTAGTCCCACATTGGAAGTGGAGTAAAATTAAATAGCATTTATAAGGCACTTGGAACAATGTAATTTCCAAAGGAGCCAAAGAGGATAAAGTGCCACATAATTATATGTGGTGGTGCCAAAACTTATGTCACTTGTCTCATACAAAACACCCCTCGCCGGTGTCGCCACCGGCGACACCGGCTCCAGAACCGGATCCGAGGGCGTGGGCGTAGAGGCGCTAGTGGCGGCTTGTAGACGGCACTTGAGCACTTAGGCACGACGCATCGGAGCAATCAGGCTATTCGCGGCGCCGGTGGCGCTCCGGCCGCCTCCGGCCGGTATACTGCGAATTTATTTTAATTGTCGCTCCAGATTTCATTCGTTGCCTAGAGTTTGATTTTTGAATTTGAATTCGAAATATATGACACTTCATGAAGTGGTGCATGACATTTTATTTGAACCATTGCAAATGCTCATTAGAGAGTGTGTTTATGAAGAGTTGCAAACTTCTGAAAAGACACATGCATGACTATAAATATATGCTTGATACTTCGAAATCAAACACTCCAAAAATCTGATATCATATTCTATATAATTCCAAACGTTTTCTTTGCATTCGAAACTTCACCAGTCTTGTGCAGTTTCGAGAAAAGGCTGACTTATCCTGGGTATTCAGGCCGTTCCAACTCTAAGACATTTGAGAGTGTGCTTGAAATACTTTTAAAGAAAGTGATTTCGTTCACGATTCAGTCTGATTCCATTCGACATTGAAACATTATCTAACAATTACCACATGAGGAATGCTATTTATTACGAAATAATTTTAAAGAAGAAATGCAACATAGCATGGCCTGACTAAGAAAAAAGAAACCACATATTGTAGTTTCGTTTCTAACTTTTCCTAGTGCAGTAGTCAGCTTGTTTTTATAATTCAGCAGCCACTTAGAAAACACATGCTTCTAGTCTTAGCTTGTCTTTATAATCCAGCAAGCCATTATTTAACATTCATTCCAGTAGTCATTAGTCTAGAAAAGTATATAACTATTGGTCTTAGTTTAGAATTGATAACTAGTAGCCACTTAGTTAGAAAATATAAACACTAGTCTTAGTTATAAAAAATATACATTAGTTTAGTTAGGAAAATAATACATTAGCTTAGAAAATAAAACATTAGTTTACTTAGCTTAAAACAAACATTTGTTACTTAGAAAATTAATACATCAATCTTGGCTTAGAAAATATATACACTAGTTATCTAGTTAAAAAAATAAACATTAGTATTAGGTTAGTGAAAATGTTAGAATTAATTTATCTTTTAATTAGTTGTAGTGATTAGCCAAAATGCTAGAAGTAATTAATATATTAGTTAATTGTTTTTTGATTAATTGATAAATCTTCTTTTGGTTCATGTAATTAATTCATTAAATCTTTAATTAATTTATAACTTAATTCATGGTTTGATTTTCTTTGTTTGATTTAATTATTTAATCAAATATATTTTGATCAGGTAATTAGGTTAATGGTTTTAGGATTTGTTGTCAGAGTTTTCAAGGGCACATTTGCATGCCCCTTAGGATTCTTATTCAATTAAGTTGATCATAGTCTCTAGACCACTTGATTGAATTAAATCTTTATAATTACACCTACACTTGATCCATTAAGTCCACTATTAAACAACCTCCACCATCTTCAGACTATCATTTCAGAGGGAGGGACCATCCATTTAGGGGGAGAAAACCTTGAGGATGATGTTTTTTAGCTTTAGTACATATCATGTTATCTTTCGTTCATCTCATATTATGTTTACCTATTTTTATGTTTGTTTGAGACTTGGAGATATTTTTGAACATGGTGTTTGTTTAATGCACTTCACTTTTTCTATATGCTTCTCGTCCTATTTATCTTCATATTATTTTCCATTAACTTCATTTTATGTGAATGTTTGTTAAATTGTATCTGTTGCAAAATATGTGATTTTGTTCAATTGAATATATTGTGTTTCTCTTTGACCTTGTGCCTCTATCTTTTTGATGTTGTCAAAGGGGGAGAAGAAGCAAAATCAACAATTCATCTTACAAAGATTGATCAGATTTTCAGATCATCTCTCAGAAGTATGCATAAAATCAGAGGGAGAATGATTCTACTCAAAGTACTCGATTTTGCTACTGTTTTGCCATCACCAAAAAGGGGGAGTATGTGAGGGCATGGTGTTTCAATCCTTAGTTTAATAATGTCAAAACGTGTCTAGTTAGTACTTTGTATTTTGGAGGGTATCATCGAGTCTTAGCATGCATTCATAATTTTTTAGTGCACAAAAATATTTCAAAAAAATGCGTCTATCCATATAGAATAGCATCATATGTGTTTTGTGTGTACTTGATCTTGTTGAGAGACTTAGGTGTGCATTAGTATTGTTTAGGTAGACCAACACATGTTTAAAAATTAATTGTTTTCATTGTGTTCTTTGTTGAAAATCACACAAGTTTCATTTATAGCATGTCATTTGGATCAATATTTAGAGAGTTAGAATTTTTGATAAAACTAAAATATAATGGCGTAGGGGTACTCCCTAAAATAAATATAAACACCTTTTATTTACTCAAAATCTTTCCTTGAGAATAATCCTACAATTTAGATAAATTTTAGTATACTAAATTTAATGTCACGTGGATTATGGAAAGACCATTAATTGTGAAATATTATAATTGGTAAGAGAAATGATCGCCTAACATGAAAATTGAAATCCATTTAAAAGTGTTAGAAACACAATTTATAACATACATATATAAAGTCTATTCTAATAATTACAATTCATATGCATTATGTCAAATTTATTTAACTAATAAAGAGGAGGAAAACCAATTGATAAACTTAACTAATAAAAAGATATTAAGGTAAGTCACAATTTCGAGTTTATAGTTTATAAGTTCATATAATAATTTAGATCTCTTTGATAATGGTATTTTTATCATGTTCCAAACGCTATTTTAAATAACATTTTATCTTATAACTTATAGTTTATAATTTTTTATTTCACTTTTATCTTTTATTATTTTAATAAAACTCCTTTTTTATTCTTTATCATTTATTTTAGTTTAAAACAAAATAAATATATATTAAATATCTTTTATGTCATTTAATATTATAAATTAGTTAAACAGTTAGTTTTACCAAATAATTTCAATTAATTTATCAACTATCAATTATCAATCATCATCTGCTATAAACTATAAGCTATCAATTATCAGCCATTAGCCATGCATCAATCATAAATTATCAATCATAAATTATAAATTAATTTATCACTCAACCACTATTTCTACCGAACTGAACCTAAGATTTGTGTCTTAAAAAATGTCTTCTTATCATTATTCAAATTACTTTTATTTTCCTAGTTTCTTCATCATTTAAAATAATTATTGTCTTCTTGTATAAGACCAATCAAAATACATATAGTTATTTTTTTTTTATTTTCTTCATCATTTAAAATAATTACTGTCTTCTTGGATAAGACTAATCAAAATACATATAATTTTTTTTACAAGTCTCAAATTTTTAACATGACCTTTGTTTTACCTTTAGCTTTAATTATTATAATAATAATTAGAGATAAAAAAAATATAATAAAAATATTAAGGAAGAGATGAGGGAAAAAATATTATGAAGGGTTAATATTCAAATGGCTTAGTGATAGTTCTGGTCGATAGTTGAAAGCTGAATATTTTAAAAGTAATTGAAGCTGGGAAATAACAAAGTTGGCAGGTTAATACCGAAAGACTAATAAGATATGATTAGGTATTATCCTCACTCATTCCGCGGCTTTCCTGACGTCAGCTTTTCGGTAGTATAAAACCTAGAAACTGTAAATTCCTCATCATTTTTCCTTTGTCCTCACTCATTCCGCGGCTATTCTCATCATTCTTCATTTGTCCTCACTCATTCCGCGGCTTCCTATTTCTACAACAAAATCAATAACAACTCGCGAGAGGTGTTTCCTATTCCTCCTATCATTCTTCATTTCCAAATTTATTCATTTTCTACGTTCTAGCTAATATTCTTCATTTTCAAATTTATTTATTTTCTACGTTCTATTCCTACAACAAAATCAGAATATAGAAGCAATGTATGATTTAGTATTTCATTAACACTAGTAGCAGTAATCATATTTTATTATTTGATTCATACTAATCATATATAATTTTTTTTGTAGTAGCCTTTTGATGATCATATCCCAAAAATCAACAAAATGCAACTTAAAGACCAGTCGAATAAGACCAAGTCAGATAAAACAAATATTTATGTTTTATATAGAAAAGGAGCATTGGAGATGACAAGGTTAGTAGATATATTGAAATACCTTTATGGACAAAAAATAACTTATATGTGATTTTATTTAAATGAGAGATTAAAACATAACGTGCACTTTAAGGAGGTATTCGATTAAAAAGTTTAACATAAATCTATCACAATGTATAGTTACATACTACTAAATTTAGATTATTTTAGATAAAATATAATTCATCATAAATTAATACAATTAGACTAAAATGTTAAAATAAACACTAAAATATTAACTTACCTATCAATTTTTCTAGTTTAATTTTATTTGTATCAAATGTTTTAATAATATTGAATTATAACTTTTCTATTAGGCTTGCATCCGAACACTTTAAAGAGGCCACAAAAGCTTATCAACAAAAAGATCATTTTTCAGCCAAACAACATTCTATGGCCGACAGAGAAAAAATTCGTATGGTTGAAGAGCATAACTATAATGCAGCAAAAGAAATCTTCAAAATTAATAACCGCAAAAACAAAATTTGGAGAATAGATTTGCATGGTCTACATGGATCAAAAGCAATTCAAGTCCTACAAAGTCGATTAAACGAAATCATTGCTACACAGTCAAAATCATTAGAAGTTATAACAGGTATTTTCTATATTATTTGTAATAAAATTTTAAAATGTATGTATAAAATGTAAATATAGTGTGTTGGTTTTAAACTAAAACAAATTATTTAATTTTTTTTAGGAGTTGGCAGACATAGTCACGGAAAACCAGTACTTCCGGTGATCATTACAAAATTTCTCAATGAAAACAAGTAAATAAAATTCATTATATGTAATAGTTACAATAACAACTATCATTTTTCTTCTCATTACTTATTTATTTGTTATTATGCAGTTATCAATTTGAAGAGATCAGACCAGGAGCTTTGAAAGTTTGGATTTTTTCTTCCCAAAATAAGTTGGCAAGTCATTAAACACAATATATGGTACCGGTAATATTAAAGGCAATCAAGTCATAGAAGCAATATAAGAGTTATATTGTTATGATTTTATATGCTTCTTCATAAACCTTCAAGTATTGAAGATCGAGTTAGACTGTTTATGATAGTAATTTTCAAAAACCATCACCCTTAGTTTATGTGGCGGTTAACTACACTCTTTTTTCTTGTAAGATTTTTAACGAGTCACTCTTTTGACTTCATAATTGTTGTATAAGAGTTTTAGTCTAGCTCTTCCAAAATCTTCTCTAACCCACCATTGTACAAATTACATATATACATTTTCAAGTTATAAACCACTCGTTATTATTCTCACCTACAGTAAGCGTGTAGATGTGAGCTGACAATTTTTTACTTTTGTTTTTAATTTTGTGTGCATTTGATTGATGATATGAATAGAAATTTCCTCACCACTAATTCATAAGGATAAAATCTTAAGAAAATTGGCTCCATTTAGGGATGACAAAGTGTTATATATTTGTGTTAGCAGGAAGAATATAAAAGGCAAATTAAACGATATATAATTATAGTCATGATTATAATTATGATGAATTAGAATAATTCATATCACATGAAACACAAATAGGGAAGTACTAGAACTGATACGACGGAAATTTAAAGTATAAACAACCCTAAAGAATCTGACAACTTAAAGTCTAAAGGTAGAAACTAACTGAAGTCTCTTTTTAAAACTTGCAGTAAAAATTTCTTTTGAAATCTATCTTGAAAAAATGTTGCTCTCTTGTTTATCTTTCCAAACCACCCGCCTTGCAAGTACACTTTTAGTTCGAAGCTTTTATGTATTAGCAGGAAGAACATCAAAGGCAAATTAAACGATATATAATTATAGTCATGATTATAATTATGTTGAATTAGAATAATTCATATCACATGAAACACAAAGAGGGAAGCACTAGAATTGATACGGCAGAAATTTAAAGTATAAACAACCCTAAAGAATCTGACAACTTAGATAGACAATTTATAGATCAAGTTATTCATAACTAAAATCTTTTCAATGGAATTGTAAGAATATTTGGAGCACATTTATCAATAAGACGCTTCCATGCTTTTACATAGTCCTGACACCTGCCAAACAGCAGGAAACACACTTCGATTATCCAATGAGAACATAATCTTTAGCCTTTATATTTTAATATTTTTTTGAAAGCATCTCATTTACACAAATATATCATTTTATTTTAAATACTTAAATCATTTTCTACGCTTGGATCTTTTAATTTATTAATTATTCAAATTTTACTTATATTCTAAATTAATCTATGTAATATGAAGAGAAAAAAAAGTGATTTGGATGTGTTTTTGAGTTGGAAGCTTATTTAAAAATTGTCAGATTCTAATCCCAATTTCCAAAAAAGGGATAACATGTTTTTCTGAGAAGGATATACGTAAACTCCCAGGGATAAAGGTAACTAATGTTATCCTGAATTACTTCATGCCATTGCCTTCTCTACTGATATATGACCATGAGATATTAGTAGAAACATGATTTGTGGTTAGATGACCAACTAAATGAATGGTGCATCTATTTTCCTATATAGGGTCCCTAAGAATATCCCACCATTTGAATTAACATGTTTAAACCTTCATAACCACTAATACCATTCCAGAAGTTCCTTAGCCATCATTGATAATCCCACCATATGCGTCTCCCTAACACCCTAGAGCCAAAATAAACCCAGACGTTATTAAGTAGTCTGGAGAAATGAAGTTCCTGGTTTTCCTTTGTCATTCTTAGTGGGAAAGGCTCAACATTTTGCTACAGAGGGTTGTTGGGTGGTTTTCAACGCTATTCTGGCCTTATGCATATATGGAATTGTTTTGTTTCCCAACATACCAGACTTTGTTGATATGGATGCCTTTCATATTTTTGCTTCCAAGAATCTGGTGCATACTCTTTTGGGAGACGCATACCATTCAGTACAGTACAAGAATGAGAACAGAAGAGGAAAGAATGTTTGTTGTTGTGCACCACTTCTTTACAAATGGTTTATGGAGCATCTTCCTCGAGCTGGAGCTTTTGTTGATATGTCAGATACGTCTGATTGGTCAGAGAGACTCATGGGTTTGACGTCTGAGAATATTGTTTGGTTTAATAGAGATCTTCTTGGTAAGGAGATTATCTATAATTGTGGAAACTTTCCTAATGTGCCTCTGATAGGAAGGAGATGTGGTATCAACTACAATCCTACTCTTGCTGCAGGCAGTTTGGTTACGCTTTGAGAGAACCCCCGAAGGAAGAGGAAATACAGGAATCTCTGTATTTCATAGGAGTGGCTGATTGTGATACTTTATCCAGATTGAAAAAGGCTTGGGGAAGGATCCACCGCAAAGGAAAATTTTCTTTGGGTAAGAGTGACTGTAAAGCCTATGGACCCTATGTGGATTGGATTCAGGAAAGGGTGGAGAAGATGTTGTTACCATTCCCTGTTAGAGAACCTTTGTACCCTTTGGTGATTGAAGAACCTATGACAATTGATATTCAGAGGTATAATAAGTTGTGGGTCGAGAAAGAAGAGTTACACAAGGAGAATGAAGAGTTAAAAAAGGAGATTAGTCAGTTGAAGGGCAAAAAGAATGAAGCAGCCTACTTGGCCAAGATGAAGACAGAAACCTTGAACAAGATGGGAGTTCACAATAAAGATTGGGTTCTCTAAGATTATTTCCTGGTCAATTTTACTTCTCGAGGCAAATTCAAGTTACACAAAAGCCCATGTTTTTTTTTCTTAAGCCCATTTGTGGTTTAAGTGGGAGTTTGATCCAATTGAGTGCGTCTGAGTCACGACTTATGCTCATATTGGGTCTCATTTGAAAGTTCTTTGAAAATCCAAGGCATCCGAAATTGGTTAGTTCAAGTTTCAATTCTTTCAAAATTCAAATGTTTTTTTAACTTCATTCAAATTCAAATTTTCCTTCAACTTCTTTCCAAATTTCTACCAATTGTCAAATTTACTCTCAATTCAAATCATTTCATTATACCAAATTTTAGGTCACATCTAGATGTCAAATTTCATTTTCAATCCACCAAACCTCATATTCAAGTTCAAGCTATCAAGTGATGTCAAGAATACAAAGCTCCAAAAAAATTTATTCATATTCTTTTAAATTCCATCTCAACTTCATTACTACAAAATAATGCCAAAGCTATGAAAGCCCATACGATTCAAGTAAAGTCCATTCAACAAGAAAAATCCCATGCGTGTTGCAAAGCCCACACAAAATTCATTAAAAAATAATTAGGTCCATTACCATTTTATATCCAAATTATTATAGCAAAATTACAAAAAGAAAATGATGAGGCACAAACTTCAGTGAACACAACCCATGAAGACTTTTTTGCAGCCACTTCCTGCACTTCCATAATTCTGTAACACAAACATCTACACCAATTCCTTCCAAAACGACTTATGAACGAAGACGGCACACCCTGACAATACGCTGCAGAAGCATGACAACACGAGTTGTAATTTGCGCATATCCTGTACAAAATTGCCACAACACGAAACCTGGCTCACATATTATCTAAGACTTGTACCTGCGTTAAAGACAAAAACCAGTAATAACAGAAATTCACGCAGGAAAAATCATTCTCACCACGTCACTAATTCCACAACTATTTGAAAACAATCATAAGACACACATAAATGAATCAAAAAACGGTAGCAACAATCCTCCAATCCTTCCTACAAATACCCTCCGCATCTCTTATAAAATAACCCTGCCAAAACAACTTCTTCAGGGGGATCTTCCCTTAAAATTCCAACGAACCTCCCTCTCCTAGTTTCTAACCTGACCCAAACTCACAACAATCTTCAATCTCCTTCGTTTCTCTTCTTCAATCCAAACAACAACAACTTTCGATTAACCCTTCAACCTAAACGTATTTAACAACCCCTTCAATCTTCCATCTTTTAACCCAATAACAAGATTTTTCACCCAAATCGAAACGCATAAACCTAAACCTCTCAAACCCTATTTGAAACAGTAAGAAATTATAGAAGATGAAGAATGTTTCGAAAAAATCCAAACCAGTCCAGAACAAGGAGAGCAAACCGAAGAGAAAGGGTAGAAGATTGAGGCGAAATTGAATTACAAGTCGAGGTTGAAGGTCGGGTTCCGTTCGTGGCCGCTTCCTTTTGTCGTTTTTCTTTCGTTTCTCGTTGCCCTGTTATTTGTGAGGGTGCAACGCGATGAGGGAGAGAAAGTCTCTCTCTCCTGAGCATGTTGTTTAAAATAGCATTGTTTTTATTTTGTTTGATTTGTGAGATTTGATCCAGGCCCACTCTGAATTTCCACCTTTTTTGTGTTTTTTGCTTCTTGTCGTGTCCTAGGGATGATGGGCTTAGGCCCAGGTAATTCCTGTGTGATTCTTACATCCCTATGGGTTCACACGCCCCATTTCCCACTTTGTTTACTTTTAAAGTTTATTTTGTTAGGTTTTTAATGTTTTAATATTTTTTTTAAGATTTTCATTAAATAACTTTGTTAATAATTTTGTTAAGTACTTTACTAAATATTTTGTTAAATATTATTTTATTTGGTTAATTATATCTAGATTATATTTTGGTCATCACTTTGTATTTGCCTTGAATTTCATCTTCGTTTCAATTTTATTTCAATTTGGATCAATGAAAATCTTTTTATTCATTAACGTTGATTTATCGAGGTTGATAACCTTCATTACAATCTCCTTCAAAAACCAATTGATAGTAGCAATATTGCAATGCATATCTCCTACTAAGGAAGAATATTAGGGATCGTTATTTCGTTGTCGCAGTTGATACCTATTATAAATATCTATCTAAAATTTTGTTAAGGTCAAAGATGTGACTCCAGTGATGATTGAGAAACCAGAGATGACTCTCTCTTCCTTCAAGGAAGCTCGAGCTGTTGTTCAAGCTGGCTCTGCCCCAGGCTGGGGGCAAGTTCTGGAAATACCTAACAAACAGGACAAG